TTCAGTTTTTATTTTTAAATATTACCCTCCAATAATTGAAACGCAATATCATATATAATGCCAATTCAGTTCTTAATTCAGAAATATTTACCTTCAATATCTGTGAATGGAACAGAATATCAGATTTAATGTCTTGTCAGATTTTAATTTACAAATAATTACATTAAAATCTGAAAACAGATAAAGTGTCATCTCATATACTGATTAAATAATTTAATTTAAAATATATAATAATTAAATAAGTATTCCCGATGTATTCAGATCTTGCTTAATGCTGAAATGCAAATAAAATAAATAATTAGTTTGTTTGTTTTCAGATTTGATTGCATTTATGAATAAATAATTTATACATACATACAACATATTGACATAAACGTCTCTTTACATTACATTTCATCCTGGACTATTGCATTCTAACCACAAGAGAGGTATTTACATCATCATAAACCACTGGGACACAATCATGCTCTCTATCAGCCACAGACGGCATACAGACACACTGGGCCACTTCCACAGCGGCTATTTAGAGAGCCTGTGTTACTGTGTTTGTCTTTTTTTTCCCTCCCCTGCTCACACTTTGCTGGCTCGCTGTCAGTGCTGTTAAGGTGGCAGATGTGTGATATGACCAATGCACTTGGATTGCTGTCCCAAATCTCCGCTCAGCCTCCCTTGAGACTGTCTGATCAATTTCCTCTGCCGGCGACACGGCTTGTCCAAGTGGATTTTACATGCTGGCCTGTGCGCTTCTCCCTCCCCCAGCACACGAGCCCAAATACAGCAGCACGACTGGGGTGCGTAGCCTATTAAATGGCATAGCTCACTGTACACTATCACAGCATGATGCATTGTGGAGGAAACTAAACATCTACGGTTGATTCAAATGTGTCAGTGCTCCTGTGAAATTTGTGTTCCTTTTCAAATATTTCCCAAATGTTCTTTAACAGACAAATAACATGTTTACAGTTATATTTATAATTATTTATAACAGTTTATAATTAATCTACTGGGGAATGTTTTATTTATTTTAATTTGGCTGGAATAAATATTTATTATTTATCAGATTATGGAAGGTTTTTTTTTTTTTTTTTTTTTTATCGATTGACTTGCCAAATTATTCTAAGTTTAGGGATTATTGGGCAAGTCAATTGAAGTTAGTATAATTTGTCAAGTCAATCAAAAAAAATGTATGAATGGGACTTATAGTACTGACCTTAAAATTGTTTAAAAACATGCTCTTATGAACCTACACAAGTCTTTTAAAATACTTTAAAGTATCTTGCAAAATAAATAGTTATTTATAATATAAAATAGTTAAAACTATTTATATATATACTGCTAAAAATGTGTTGAAAACAAAATCTTATCTCCATTAAAGACACTTGAAAAATATAAATTATTATTTTTTTTTTAAATTACAGGAGGCATAATAATTTTGATTATTAAATACTTGAATAATAGTTACAACCAGAGTTGGGTGTAACACATTCAACAGTATCGCGTTAGTGTATTTTAATTACGTTTTTGAGGAACGCAGTAGCGTAAAAAATTACATTTTAAATTTGTGTAATCTGTTTACAGTAAAAAAGTCGGTCCCACTTTATATTAAGTGTCCTTAACTACTATGTACTTACATCAAAAAAAATAAATACAATGTACTTACTGTATTTATAATGTATTTGAGAACACTTGTGGTGCTTTTAAGTTGGGATAGAGGTTGGGTTGTGGACAGGTTTGGTGGCATGGATAGGTTTAAGGGTGGGTTAAGGTCAACAGTGTATTTACAAATGTAATTACAAAAGTTAATTACAGTTGTAATTCCATACATGCATTTAATCAAGCATAAGTACACAGTAAATATATTTATTTACACAATAAGTACATTATAATAAACTATTAGTTCCTGTGTAAGTACATATTAGTTAAGGCCACTTAATATAAAGTGGGACAAAAAAGTCAATGTAACTGTGTTACTTACGTTACAAATATAGTTTTTGCCTATACAACCCAGCCTATACATGCTAAATTATTTTGAGCAGGATTGGGAGTTGAGGTATCTCCTGAGTGTGAAGAGAAGCATAGCTCCTTATGGGGCTGTTCACATATTGCATCTTTTGCATGCACGCACATTTACTGGGAGCGCATTTTGCATGCCCTCGAATATCCCAGGTGCACTTAGTTGAAAATCACAAGTCGCTTGACAAGAATGTGCAGCATATATTTGCCTATGTCAAGTTTCTGTGATCAACCCATTGTAATGTTTATTTTTTTTCAGTGAATAAAAATCACTGATAGAGGTGCAGTTTATTTTGTATATTTTGTAAGTTTTTTTTTTTTTTTAAAGTAATTAGTAATCTGATTACTTTTTACATTAAGTAATTAGTAATGTAATCAGATTACAATTTCACAGTAGTTTTCAGTAATTAGTAATCTATTACTTTTTTAAAGTAACTTACCCAACACTGGTTGCAACCCTAAGACTTTATAGTTTATAAATATTTCCCGAACTGCATCACAGATCCGATCATGTGATCGGAAATTGAGCCTAATCGCAGTTTCAGCCTCGATCGGAATCGGACGTTACCTCCCGATCAAGACACGAATATATGTGTATATTCTCATTATTTTAAAGGCTCATTATTATAAAGGCTACGCACATCAATACAGCATCATTTTTTGAGACTGTATAACAGCAATTAATGTTTACAGTACTGTGATGGTTGGGTTTAGAGTTGGGTTAGGTAAAGGAATAGAAATTAAAAAAACTAAATTTATTGGGAAATGTAATAAATAACATAAACAATACTGGTGACACGGTGGTGCAGTAGGTAGTTCTGTCGCCTCACAGCAAGAAGGTCTCTGGTTCGAGCCTCGGGTAGGTCAGTTGGCATTTCTGTGTGGAGTTTGCATGTTCTCCTAGTGTTTGCATGGGATTCCTCCGTGTGCTCCGGTTTACTCCACAGTCCAATGATATGCGGTACAGGTAAATTCATTCATTCATTTTCTTGTCGACTTAGTCCCTTTATTAATCTGGGGTCGCCACAGTGGAATGAACCGCCAACTTATCCAGCAAGTTTTTTTACGCAGCGAATGCCCTTCCAGCCGCAACCCATCTCTGGGAAACATCCACACACACATTCACACACACACTCATACACTACGGACAATTTAGCCTACCCAATTCACCTGTACTACATGTCTTTGGACTGTGGGGGAAACCGGAGCACCCGTAGGAAACCCACACGAAGGCAGGGAGAAGATGCAAACTCCACACAGAAACACCAACTGAGCGAGGTTCGAACAAGCAACCCAGCGACCTTCTTGCTGTGAGGCGACAGCAGTACCTACTGTGCCACTGCCTCACCCCTACAGGTAAATTGGGTAGGCTAAATTGTCCGTAGTGTATGAGTGTGTATGGATGTTTTCCAGAGATGAGTTGTAGCTGGAAGGGCATTCGCTGCGTAAAACACTTGCTGGATAAGTTGGTGGTTCATTCCGCTGTGGCGACCCCAGAATAATAAAGGAACTAAGCCGAAAAAAAAATATGAATGAATAAACAATACTCTGTACAACTACTGTTTTTACAGTACTGTGGGTTTAGGGTTAGTGTTTAGGTAGATGCTATAAAAATACAATTAATGGGAAATTTAATAAATAATATAAATAAATCTCATAAACTTCTGGCCGAAACCGTATCTGATCTAGCAACAACCGAGGATTCCTGCAGTCTGGAGGTGATATAAAGTTGTTGTTGACAACATTGCCATAGCTAACTGATATTCAAAATAGAATCATTGGACTTGGACTTGCGGGTAAAAAAAAAACTTGATTGGGACATCCCTAGTTTAAATCACATTGTTTATAACTTGTATTGTCTTGTGACAACAAATTAAGCTAAATAAGCTAATAAGGAGTTTAAAATCAAAATAATGTTTTACTATTGCTGAAAAATAATGATAATTGTATCAAAAAACTGATTGGTACAATATATAGATTGTACTCCATGTTTGCTTGCTTTGGTCAGGTAATAATTTTGTATAAAAATACAGGATTTACTTTTTATGTCTCACACTCTGGAGATTTTCATTGATGATGTCAACAATACTGTGATCTGTATTTCTATCCATCACGGTAAAAACTGCTGGGTTCCACACAATTAATTCATGTTATCCCAACACAAATTAATTGAGTTAACTTACAAATTTTGTGGATCGAACATAATACAATTAAGTTGTCCCAATAATATCTTAAGAATTGTTCATCCATCCATCCATCCATCCATCCATCCATCCATCCATTCATCCATCCATCCATCCATTCATATTAAATGTTTATAATTAAATGTTTTAATTGATTTTATTTTATTTTTATTATTATTTTAAAGTATATAATTAATTTTATTAATTAATTGAATAATATAATGGTTTGCCATCCATCCATCCATCCATCCATACATCCATACATCCATCTAAAATATTTATTAGTTTGAATTATATTTTTAAATAATTATTATTTTGTTTATTTTTTTATTATTTTAAATTATATATTTTAATATATTTATAAATAAAATTAGTTTATTTGTTTATTTATTTATGTATTTATTTATTTATTTATTTATTTATTCATGTTTCATGCATTTCAATTTAAGGTGTAGGATTTTAGATTAAATTCAGTGTTAGTTTTTGGATTTAAGTTAATTAAACATTTTATATGCATTTTATTGTAATCATTACATTTAAAACAGCAAATATATTGAACAATACCATGTTTTTACCTTTGATGAACCACAATTACCCTTCTAGATTTTTTATTTATTTATTTTTTCCTAATCTTCTGTCAGACTGTTTAAATGTCCCCAACACAAGCAGTGTACGCGGATGTTTGCTGACACGTCTCTCCTGCTGCCCAGTACAGTCTGTCAAATCCCCCTTGCAAACTCAGCAGCACATCAAGACAACAGCAGAATCAGGTACAAGCTTGAAAAACAGAGAGTGCGGACTTACATTGATGCCCTGTGGACTGTATATCTGACTGGCAGCAAGGCTTTCACTGTATCCTCCTGTCTGACTGATAACATGGCGAAGAGTATCCACCTGCAGACACCGGAACACAACACACAAAAGCGTTCAAAACAAAGACGTCTGTGCTGAGAAAAGGTCAGCCTGATATCAGAAGGATATTGGCAGCCCAAAAGGTCATCAAATGTTGAATGAAATGTTTGTGCTGCAGATATCAAACAAGACACGGTTTGTTCTGGATTTTAGATGAGGGAATACATCTGTGTTTACAGTCTAATCATAAGGGGGAATTCAGTTAATTACTTGAGATTAAAATAAAATAATAATAATAATAATAATAAAATATTTTATAATAATAAAAAAATGTGTATATGAAAAAGTATATAAATAAACTAATTTATTTAATTTTTAATACCATTTTTAATCTTAATTGTTTTTTTTTTACTATACTTGTAAATATGTGTAAGTTTAAAAGAAAATAACAGTTATTATTAAGTAATTACATGTGGCAGTTTGTTTGTGTACATAAATGCATTTAAATACAGTTTTTAAAATATGCATCTAAATTATGATTCCCATTAAAATCCACTATGTTTTAATCAGTTATCAATCAATTAATTACATTTAAGTATGATTACATTACATTATGTGGTTTCAGTTAATTGTGATATTGTAATGATAATAATAATAATAATAATAATAATAATAATAATAATAATAATAATAATAATTAATAATAATAAAAAAAATAATAATAATAATAATAATAATAATAATTATTATTATTAATTTATTTTAAATACTACTAATACTACTACTACTACTACTACTACTACTACTAATATTAATAATAATAATAATAATAATAATAATAATAATAACAATAATAATAATAATAATAATAATAAAATAATAATAATAATAATAATAATAATAATAATAATAATAATAATAATAATAATAATAATAATTATTATTATTATTATTATTATTATTATTATAGTAATAATAATAATGATTATTATAATTGTCATTATTATTAATATAATTATAATATTATTATTGTTATTATTATCATTATTATTATAGTAGTAGTAGTAGTAGTAGTAGAAGTAGGAGTAGTAGTAGTAGTAGTAGGAGTAGTAGTAGTAAAACAAGATTCCAAGAAATAGTATAATATTTGAATATAATAAATACACATTTATTTAAAACAAGTAATTTAATTTAAATTGATTTAATTATTTGAACAAATATGTGTTTGAAAAAGAAGTAAATAAATGTGTAAATATATAAATGATAAAATACTAACTAAACAATTTAAGTAATATGTAGCAAAAATATTTTCAAAACATTTTTGAAACATTTTCACAGCACTTTCAAAACATCAAATAGCCTAATGAAAAATCTCTCTTGTGTAATTCTTGCACCACATGAACTCATTTCAGAAGATTTCCTCTGGGATTCCGGCACTGAATATTCATGAATCACCCAGAGCATTTGGAGAAGTTGCTTCGTTAGGAAAGGAAAAACATGGACGTCAAAAGAGGACAAACCGAAGTGCTCAGTGTTTGAATGCTAGCGTATCGGGCAAGGTCAGGCTGCCGCGGTGGCGGACGTGACAGCAATGTTGCTGACAAGAGCTGTATTGTTTCCAAGACTGTCTCTGATGGTCTATTCATTTGGAAGTTGACAATGGCCTGCTGGAGGCAAACCGTAACCCCAGACCGTCCTCAAGGTCAGGAGGCCCGTCACCAACACAAATCTACACGCGTCCGACACTGGGATATGAGCGGCTGGAGCTCACAGATGAACTTTGTTGTGACAAGGATATAAAACAAGACGATAACTGTTTGATCACTTATGACAGAAACACACCATTTTGAACTCACAGAAAATATTGCCTTAAAAATATGGATTAACAAAACAATAAAATATAGCTGCTAGCAGCAATTAAGCAGAACCAGAAGGTATGTCAGACAAAGAGGAGAAAATGGAAGAAAAATCATAAATAGGTTTACTTGTAAAATTACTTAATCGTATGTGAATTTTGACCAAATTGATTTGTTGTGGTCAGTGTGAGGTGACAATGTCACAAAGTTTGGGGCTCTTTTTTAGTGATCTAGGCACAAAGTCTAAAGTGCAAAAGTATTAAGGGCATGTCCGAATCCACTTTTACTATTGTAAGGATTGAAAAATACGCTCTGTGTCCCAGTACATGGTCTAACAGGGTTGTGCTTATTCTCTTAATGCGTTATGGGTGTGTTTTGAGCATGACGAGCTTTATACCAATCAATCTCATCTTCCATTCCCTTTAAGAGAGTCAGTTTGCCATGGTGCATTTGCTATTTATTTATAAGTGGAAAAACTGAACCCTTCACTAGAGAGAAAACAAGTTCAACAAATCATCTGCAAAACAAGGATAAAGAACAAGCCTCCTCCCTTCAGCCTCTTTACTTTCTCTTTACTTTAGTTTTACTCCCCTTTACTCTCATGGATGAGGAAACGATGTTGTACTCACTCTACTGAAGACATCTTTTAGCGTACATATTTATTTAAAATTGTTAAGTACAAATATTTGCTCAGCATTGCTTTGTGTCAATATATCAATGTTTTGGACAGTTACAGCATGAGGCAATTTTATCTATTTGATAAATTTAAAAAATGGTTGACTTATTGTTTGATGTGATGCCATGTAAATAGCAAATGTGCCATGGCATGATCATCACTCTCTTTAAAAGAGAATGGGAGATAAAAACACATATTTGTTTAATGCAAATTTGTTTTGCCACAAAAAACACTGATTAAGATAAAAAGAATATCTCTTTTAGACTATGCTCTGGGTGCACAGACTTTTTACTATTATTTTTCCCAAATATCAAGTGAATTTGAATGTGCACTAAGTGCATCTGCCCAGTGTGCTTTAAGCCATGAACTTAGTTAAAAAGTCTCAAGCAGAAATTTTTCATATATCCTAACCACTTTTTTTTACTCGAAAAATCTAAAAAATGAAATCAAGCAGCATTTTCTAGACAAGCAAAAAAATATTGTTTTGTTTTCAAAATTAGTAAGTTATCTTACTGGTAGATTATTTTGATTTATTATTTTGCTAGATTATGTTCAAGCCTACTTCAAATGTCCTCTCCAGCACCTATGTGTACGAGAATGCAATGCAATGCAATTGCGACATCACAACTGTGTAGTTTCCAAGAGCTCAAGGGTTTAGCGTATTCCTATGAAACTGTCAGATGTTCTGCCTGTAGTGGAGACTTTGTAACGCAATCAATGAGACACACCCAAGTCAACAAGAAGGATGAAAGTCAGTGAGTAAAAGGCATACCAATTTGGGTCCCACTTTATATTAAGTGTCCTAAACTACTATGCACTTACATAAAAAAAATAAATACAAAGAACTTACTGTGTTTATAATGTATCTAAGAACACTTGTGGTGCTTTTGAGTTGGGATAGATGTTAGGTTATGGACAGGATTGGTGGCATGGATAGGTTTAAGGGTGGGTTAAGGTCAACAGTGTATTTACAAATGTTATTACAAAAGTTAATTACAGATGTAATTACATGCATGTATTTAATTAAGCCTAAGTACACTGCAATGTATTTACACAATAAGTATATTGTAACAATTTATTAATTCCTGTGTAAGTACATATTAGTTAAGGCCACTTAGTATAAAGTGGGACCGCAATTTGAACTGGAATGCAGCCTAAATATAGGGGGTCACGTGTTGCAAATCCAATGACGATGGCAGGGATGATTGTTTTAAACCAATCGGTGAAAAAAGACAAAGAACTTCTAACAATAGATGCCTAAGTACCTTCAGTGTTTGGCCCTCTAAATATTACATTATTTGGTTTAAAACAGCATGTGCTGGCTTTCAAAAAAGAGGGACGAAGAAAAGCAAAAACCAATAAAAAATGCAAAAAAAAAAAAACTATTCTAGGGGCCTTTCTTTAAAATTCAATAAAAACAACAACAAAAGAGTCAGAGCAATAATAGATTTAGATTGGTAAACTACAGCAACCCCAGAAGTGATTTAGTGAGTGGAGTAATCAGGAATGTCATTTGGACAGCACAATGTGTGATTGGGTTTAATTTAATGGCATTAGTTACAGTCATCTGCCCTCTCTTCCTACCTGTGACTGAACGTTGGCCCCCACTTGGGCCCCCTGGTATGAGTCCCCATTCAGAGACTGAACACTCATGAACAAATCCCCGGAGTTCATGTTAAAAGAGCCAGCAGAACCTAAGAGGAAGAGAGAAGGAAAAGAGAGAAAGAAAGGAAAGAAGATAAAGACAAGAAACAGTCATGCAACAGCGAGACTGATGTAAGGAGGGTTAGTAGTGCAGAGCTGATGTTGTAAGTGAGGGTTATGAGCTGAAAAACACATAAGTTACATGCTCAGAATGAGTCAAGAGAATGCTGATAAATGTAAATATATAGTATGTTCAGATCAATAATGACCATAATTATATTATTTCTAAATATCATTGTTCTAGTTTGAGCTCTACATCCCATTAAAACAGGGGTGCCCAAACATTTTCTTATGAAGGATCAAAAGGCAAACTTGATTCGGGGGGGGGGGGGGGGGGGGGGGGGGGGGTGAGGTGTTGAAGGTTGAAATGCCTACCATTATAGCTGTTATAGTAATTTTCAAATGTATAAAAAAATACTTCTTCTATTAAAAAATACTTAATTCATGTTTACAGTGGTGCTCAATGCTGGATACACAAGTCGCACCTGGTTTTGTCATGACTTTCAAATTGCTGTTCTCTGTATTGTCCACTATCTATGAGTGGCAGTACTTACACTTTTAAAAATCTGATTCATGCACAGCATTTAATTAAAACATTTCACTTCAGTTGGCTTTTTTGTAGCTCAATAATTAAACATACAAACAAACAAACAAAGGTTATGCTAAATTAGAAATTACAATCTTTGCTAAAGGCATTAATTCTCTCTCTCTTCTCTGATGGGATGGTGAGCTAAATCACAGGTTATCATGGGCCAACTTTGGCCAGTGGGCCCTACTTTGGGTATCTCTGCATTAAACTTACAATAGTGATTTTAAGAATATTTTTTCAATGCATATTAAATGTATATACTTAAAAATTTCCAATAACATCTGTGAAAACAAATTGTAAAAAAATTATGTAAATAATGTTCCATTGCAATTCCAGAAAAAAACAGTTGAAGAATGGATTAATACAATATATGTCATAGAAAAAAAAAAAAAAAACTTTCATTAAGAACAGACTGAATACTTTTTATCTATTTTGAAGTAAATGGTTTGAGTATATTTCTCCAATATGTCTGGATTGTTTTTGAACTGTAACACTTTAAAAAGGTATAAAATAATAAACAATTATTATAAACTCTATTATATATTAAAAATATATACAAAAAAATCCACTTAATATATTATTTAATTTCAAATTCTGGATTATAATATAGAAGTAAATAATAACTATTTATTTATTTATTTATTTATTTATTTATTTATTTATTTATTTATTTATTTATTTATTTATTATTTATTTATTTATTTATTTATTTATTTATTTATTTATTTATTTATTTATTTATTTATTTATAGTTTTTTTATTCTGACACCTTTCAAAATCAGAACTCTAATCCAGTCTGGTTGCTTTGGATAAAAGTGTCTGCTAAATTTAACGTGCAATGTATTCAAATGAAAATGAAATCAAAACAAATCAATTTACAAGAGAAAGGCACAATACTCATCAACAACATTTATTTAGACTTCACTTGAATCAATTGTCCAATCCACTCTCTAATGTACTTCACATAACAACCACATTTTGAGGACTTTTATTTTAACATAAATAAAACAAAACATCCTTATCTGGCTTCAAACTATAAACGTATCGGGTCACATTTGGTTAGGGTTTTGTCTATGTATAATAAAGACAGCAGATTTGGAATCGCCCTGCTCCACTAGCCTAATGTTGTTTTCCTCTTGTGGTTGGTTTCTTAGCCTGGTCATGCTGGTCTTTAGCTGGCTGGCCAGTGCCCAAATCCCTCTAAAACCATCAAATTAGACCTGCATGACCATCTTGGCAAAGACTGGATAACTAGCCCTAAGCTAGTTTAAGCTGTTTTTGTTTCAGCAGGAAGAGATCTAATGTAGAGACGTTATACGGCACTAATATACATGTACATGACTCAAAGATGAAAGAGGTAGTTAAGCATCAGAACAACAAGTGCAAAATGTTTTACTGCATTTTTCATGCTTTATAGTGTGTCATTAGATCACAGAAAATATAACATGCAATTTGGTGTAACAATAGCTTAATAGATTTTTTTTGTTAACAAATTAAAAGACTATATAGAGAAAATAAATAAATAAATACAAATTGAACACGTCGTTTTTTTCTGGAAATAATATTTCTAAAGGAGCTGTTGACGTGGAATTAAACCAGATTTTGGTAAAACAAAACCAATACAGGCATTAAATAAAACAAAACAAGGCTTTTTTTGGTGATGTCAGCTTAAAGATGCCTCTCATATGGGGAATGGATTACTCACAACGGAGTGTAACAAATCTTAATGGTTCTGTGGGTCTTGGCTATCAAAGTAGATGATTAATTTGTATTTTCTTTTGGATTCTAGTCAGGTTAATGGCTGAACCATTCGAGCAGCTTTTTTTTTTCTTTCCCTAAAACCGTTTAAGAGTTTGCTTGGCTATGTCTTGGATCATTGTCTTGCTGAAATGTCTACCCTGGTTTCATCATCATCATCTTGATAATGTGCATGTTGGACTAAAGCAACTAATATTAATTTACAATGACAAAGGGCAGAGGGTTGCTGAACAACTACTGAGAGATTTCAACTGCTGTCTGGGCCTTCCCAGTCTTTCTACATCTCCTTTTTTTCATGTGTTCAATACTTTTTCCCTGTGTGATTTTATTATATTATGTATAACTTTATTTGTAGTCTAATTAGTTTAGTTTTCTTTGCATATATGGATTTATTTGATTGTAGCCAACATCTGGTGAACATTTCAAGTCAACAGCACCTTTATAAATATGTTTTCTGAGAAAAATGGTGATGTGTTGACTTCTTATTTTCCCTGCTATAAGTGCTGAAGTAAAATATTAACCTTCAAACTACAAGGTTTCAGCAATTTGTCGAGAAGACATTGATATTTAAAATGATCACTTACCTACAGCTTAGAAAATATGTGGTTTAATTTGATTATTAAAATTTGTTACCTTAACACCCACAGTTTTTTTGATATTGTAGTTTCACACACCAAAATACAACGTATCATCTATGATACGTATACTATATCTTAAAGTGCAGTCACATTTACAAATATTTGGGGACTTCTCATGGGTAAAATGGCAACACTTTTGACAATAAACCAGATAAAGCAATGTTTGCAACTGGGAAACACTATAATAACAATTAAACTGCTCCAGGATCAACAATGGGCCAAGAAGGCCTGAAATAGACTTTCATTAATACTGCAGTGACATCTAAGATGGACAGTACAGTTACACCGCCACAGCCGAGTCATTCAGGATGTGCTAATTGAGTCACACAAGGAATCAAAGAATGCTATTTGTCTTTTAATGGAGGAGAACTCCCTAGATGTTTAAGAGAGAGCAGGGCTTAACTTAATTTCCGCTTTAAAGGCCGCAGGGCACTAATCAAATGTACATGGACCTCTAATCACTTCAAGGCTATAGGACAAAAGGCTTGACCATCCCATCATAATGACATCCATGAGGTCAACCAGACAACAGCAACAGAGTACCTTGGGTGAGTTCAAACCAGATAAAGCAAAATAGCATTTTAGCCAAACAATTTTTGAAGGTAAAAGATGAATGCTTCAACAAAAAAGCAAGAGTCTACAGACTACCGACGTAGATAAAGAAATGGGAGATTTGAATTGCATAAAAAGGATTCTTTATGGGAAAGGAAATGATTTAAAGAAAAGGAAAATATAAAGCACTGCAGTGGTGAACTATTTATTTGCCAGTTGGTGACATTAAAGCTGGCATTTCTCTTCTAAAAGCAGGGCTGTGGACTAAAGCGGGCCAATGAAAAACAAACACATCTGTTGTTTGTGTGTTGATTTATAGCAATGCTCACCGGCCGAATTTGGTGTGGAAGGCGAGTTGGCTTGGCTGCCGTGGGTGGAGACGCTGGTTGCGTTAGCGGCGGTTCTGGCAGCGTACATGTTGGCTTCTTCTTGGAATTTTCCAATATTTTTCTTGTATCTGATCCTTTTGTTTCCAAACCAGTTGGATACCTAAAAAGGGAATTAACAACTGTTAAATCTGACTGTTAATTCAAAAAACACAAACAAAACATGCACTTAATCTAGCGACTATGTAAAACTGCACATTGTTTTGCATGTTTGTAAAATTATGTTGCAAAATATAAATCATAAACACATTTGTGACTTTGGGTCATAAAACCTGACATGCTGTAAATGTAATTTTTAATTACTTAATTTTTTTTTTATATTGAGATTTATACATCAACTGGAATTTGAATACCTGAAGTTTATTTATAAACTAATTTCGAGAAGATCACAAGCTTATGATTGACTCTGCTGGCTTCGAGTCAAGCTAATGTACGGACCACCAATCAGGAGATTCCTAACTCAGTATAAATAACCAAGCATCATACCCTTAGTCATTTACATTTTGAAGAATTCCCCTTTCCACCCCGTCTCCTCCTCTTTTTCCTTTATAGGGCAGCACGGTGGCCCAGTGGCTAGCACTGTGGCCTCACAGCAAGGATGCCTTTGGTTCGGGTCTCTACCCGGCCAGTTTGCATTTCTGTGTGGCGTTCATGTTCTTCTCCGTGGTCGCGTGGGTTTTCCCCGGGTCTTCCAGTTTCCTCCCACAGGCCAAATCATGAGACATAAGTAAACTGACTATACCAAATCAGCAACATAGTCAAATTCCACCAGCAACACATAGCAGTCCTTTAGGTTCCAGGGGTGGGGGGTTCTTGAGATCTACCTGAGCTCAAACTCCCCTTTCGCTCTGCAAACGGGAGGGAGCCCTTGGCTTAAGGGACTGCATGCCAAACTAGCTTATTAACAATCACCAATTTCGTTCCAATGATGTATACTTTGTTAGGATAGGTCAATATTTGGTTGAGATTTTCTAAGGGTTAAAAAAAAAATCTAACTACTGAGAAAACCTCCTTTAAAATGGACTAAATCAGGGGTAGCCAAATATTTTCTTATGAAGGGCCAAAAACCAAACATGATTGAGGCTAGTGGGCCAAAGGTATAGGTGCCATCAGTAATTTTCTAGTTTATTTAATAATATTTAGAAATGACTAGAAAACATTGCTTTATATTAGCTAATACAGTATTTTTTCAACTTATTACAATAAAATCAAAACAATCTTATTCATAACAGAATTACACTAGTTTTTGCTTTGATTTGCTTGTCAATGTCTTCTGCTTTTTTTGTAGCTCAGCAATAAAATGGGAGGATGGGCTCAATCAAAGGTTACAATTGGCCAGCTTCGGCCTGTGTGTCCTACTTTGGTCATCTCTGGTCTAAACCAAGTGCTTAGCAATGCGTATTACTAATCGATTCAATTTAATTGTCAATAATCAAAGGTGAACTTACAAAACAATCATTATAGAATGTGGTCTTTACCTAATATTCAAATGTTTCTTTTCATTTTGTTCGCAAATTTTGACCTAAAACATTTATTTTTTTATCCATTTTCTTCCACTTGAAATCACTTAAGCCAAAATAAACCGTGCTACAGTACATAAGACATTTATTCAAGAGTTAACACTTAGCTGATGATTGATAATAAAGCTTGTTTGGCATGCTGTCCTGGGAGAGTGCCATGAGCTCATAAGATCCTCGAGCCGAGGGCTCCCTCCTGTTTGCAAGGCGAGAGGGGAGTTTAAGCTCAAGTAGATCTCAAGAAATCCCCTGCTCTAGCAGCTAATGAACAGATAGTGATTGTTTCTTAGAAATAACTACTTACTAGGAGCGCGTCTATGGTACCAATTTGGATTAGTCAATTAACTGAAGTTGCATGTTTTTGAATGGTGGGAGGAAACCGGGGAATCCCACGTGAGTACTGGGAGAAAGTGTAAAGGTTCTCAGAAAGCTCAGAAAGGTCGGCTTGCTTGGTAAAGACTCGAACCAGTGACGTTCTTGCTGTGAGGCAATAGTGCTAACCACTGGGCCACTGTGTCACCCATCTAGGGAAGGATGGAGGTAGGGGTGAAAGGGGGGAGTCTTCAAAAACAAAGATGGCTGTTATATGGAACCTAGGGTATTTATACAAGCTTAGGAATCGTCAGATTGGTGAATCATACATTGAATAATGCAGGACCAACCGCAAGCAATCATAAGCACGTGATCAAAAATTAGTTCATAAAATAAACTTCACTTGTTTTAAATTTGTATGTTGACAGCGTGAATGGTTAGCAGAATTGTGCTTTTTTGGTCCAGTTCAAATAAACCAAGATGGTGAATACATGTTTAATTGGTTGTTCTGATTAACCTTTTTAGTATTATTGTTGGATGCATGTCATATAGACAAGTAGGTGGCATAAATCTGTGTTTGTTTCAAAATATAAGTATATATGTGTGTGTATAGTTTCTAAAACCATAGGTCACTTAAAAATTTGCATTTTCTCACCTTTTACTCAAACTAAAACATGTAAATGAACGGTGGAAAGCAGTAGCCATTGACATCCAGAATAAGGAAAACAAACACTATGATAATCAATGGTAAATGGTTTAATGGAAGTAGTTTTAATGGAATTTGATACTGTGCTTTGTATAAGAAAAAAAAACAAAAAAAACTTGGATCTCTGTGGTCCTTAACTGACTCAGTAGGTGCAGAGAATAGTGTCCAACAGTAGTGTGTGTCCATTCTATCCTGTTGCAAAATGCATTGAAAAATCCTACACAGCGGTTATAGTTGCGGTGTTTACATGTCTGTACTGCACTTCAATAATGTAACTAAAGATGTCATATTCCACATGTCTTAATTCGATGTCTGTTTAGTTCGATTATGACCCTAATCGGATAAAATTAATCAAAAATCGCTGTTTACATGGTAGACTCTTAATCACAGAATTGTCTTCATCATATTAAAATTGAATTACCGCATTGTTCAAAATATTTTGTTTGTGTTCAACTAAAGATCAAATTGAAGGTAAGTTTGAAACAAGTGCAGGGTGAGTAAATGTTGACAGAATGTTCATGTTTGGATAAACTATCTCTTTAAGGACACATGTATGTCATCAGGACAACAAATTATAGCCTTCACATGTATTGTGTGTATTTGTGTATGTGGAGGGTGATGATGGCTGCTGCAGTTCACCTGTGAGACTGTAATTGAGCATTTCTTTGCTAACTCCTCCTTGGCCTCCTCGCTGGGGTAAGGGTTGCTGAGATGGGAATAAAAGTATTCATTCAGGATCTCTGTGGCCTGCTTGTTGAAGTTTCTCCTTTTTCGTCTAATGGAAAATGACAGAAGAGAGAGATAGACAGAGAGAAAGCCAGACGCCAGAGAGAGCGAGAAAGGGAAAGAGCAGAGCCAGAATGATTCAGAAGCTAGTGTCAGGAAAGTTCTTAACATTTGAACCTGCTGTTTAAGATTGTACTGTATGAACTTGAGTGTATAAACATATCAATCACATAAAAATATAACACGCATACTTGTATATGTGGTTTATGAGAACTTTGCTTAGGTGTAATGCATTTAACCATGTCATTATACAATTTTGTATCTGTTGTTTGTTAATTTATTGATACATCAGCAACTTATGGCTATTTAATGTAGAGCTTTGAATGTAGAACCTTTAAAGTATTATCAGGATATCATGTTTTATTTCATACAATATCGATAATTATTGAATATTTATAATAATACATTTAGGAATATAATAATTTTTTTTATTTAACCACTTTATTTTAATTTAACAACATTACTAATGCGAATAGTTTTAATAATAAATAAATAAAAATCAACAAAATATCTCATCTCTTTATAATAAATATAAGTGTTAAAGAGACTCTTAACTTGATAAACAAACAACAAATGTAGAATGTGAAACAGCAAACTCTGTAAACAAAACAAATTATGAAAATCAAATCAGAGCTTTCGAAAAAGGAACAAACCATCATTATTCAAATACATTTTGCAACATTACAAATTGTGAAGTTGAATGGCTATATTACCCCCAATGCCAAAAAACTCTTTTAGATGGGGTGCTAGTGGCTGGGATGCACAAGAAAAGAAACAAAATGCCACTCTGGGGACATCCTTACATTCTTTTTTCTTTTTTACAATCTCCACACTGCTGCTATACGGTACTCATTTTCGCATGTGTTGCTATTCTGACCTTAAGTGACAAGCACAAGCTTTCCATCACTATTTACTTCGGCATCTCTTGTAACTAGCTGACCATCAACCGTTTTCTCAGAGAATGACAAACAGACAAACCAAAACTGCAGCTTCAATCTAAGCTTATAGAGAAAAGTAAAAAGCACTGCAGTGTTTGGGTGTGCTGTGTTTATCTGAGGTAATTAGTCTGCCATTATTACTGAATTGTGTATATTCCATACAAAGTGTGAACCAGATTGGTTAGTGCTACTTCCATTAATCGCGGCTCGCTCACAGCATTTAGAAAAAGTTCAGATGTTTTTTAACTTGGTTTACCTGGAAAATGTGCGCGTGTTCCATGCACACCTTGTGTACGTAGCTCCCTATTTGTCGTACGCTCCATTGGAAATGACAAACTCACACCATAAGATTATTGGCATTCCTTCCAAGGCACGCACTCAGCAGCCACATTTGAATAAAACTATAGTCTTCAAATAGAAACTTCCTATCGTGCTTGTTTATATTATTGACAATGGTGTTCGGTCAATAAATATAAATACCGATTTTAGTGCCTTTATAGTTCAATAAGCGATAATACAAAAAAATATATATATATATTAATTAATTAATTTACACTAAAAACATTGCATGATGATTTGTCAGTTCCATATATGATAAATATCTGATTCTTTCATCAGGGATACATTTTTAAAAAAATACAAGTGCTCTCAGTTTGAAAATCTGTTTTAGTAGTCTTTAAAATTTCACATTCAAATAAAATATTTTTTTAAAGTTTGACAGTATTTACATTTTGGTCGGTACATGATTCTACAAGGAATACAAACGAGTCAACCTAGAGAAACTCAACATCTAGTTTAAGCAGTTTGGTCATACCTGGTCTCAAATATAAAATTGGCAAAGTGTCTTTCACATATGCTTTGGGTGCTCTCTTGTAATTTAACATTTGAATACTTGTCAATTTGTCCTTGCAAACCACATAAACAAGTACAAAAACACACACACACACACACACACACACTCATACAGACCTTGCGTCGAGGAAGCGGGAGCGCAGGATCATGACCGCCTCGCAGGTGCTCTGTTTGAGCTGCATTTGGATGGAGCTGAACTTGCGGTGGATGATGCTCACCATGCGCTCTATCTCTTTGGGGGAGATGGGCCGGGTGCGAGACTGCTCCCTCAGCAGGTTCATCACATGGGTGGTGAACTCATTACACGCCTGAACATCCACAGAGGGGAGGCACACGCTTTAGTCTCTGTGCATGTAAACAACACTGCAGGAGCTGCTCTCCTGAACAAACACTCTATCCTGAGGAAAGCATAGTTGTTGTTTTTGGTGCAACATTAGGACTTTTCACATTTGAAATTGTTAACCTTGGGTCATGCTAATCCGTGGACAAAAATATTACTAGGTTATCTGTAATCATGTTTCAGACTGCTCATGATATACCCGGGGTCAACAATAAATCATTTATTACAGACTTTTCATACAATATATTTCTCCTAAATACTGGGTTAACATTGTTATTTGTAAGGAAATTTCGATACCAATACCGATACCTGAGCTCAGGGTATTGGTTGTTACCAAGTAACAACTTGTATACACTACTAGCCCTGTAGAATTTAACAGAATCAATGTGCAGTATGCTTGAGACTTCTCATATTAATAAAATATGAACAAATACATACAATGAACTAGAGTATTTTTGTTATCCGAAATTCAACATTATTATTATTCATTCATTGATTATTCTGTACTTTACAAGTTCAACAACAAATCAAAAACTTTTTTTTTTAATATATATATTTTATTTAGCTAGCAGTAGTAGCTAGCAGGAATACTGTATGTCTCCTTTAAAATGATGGCATGAGATAGTTTTATGGTTTCAAATACTCACCAAAACCGATTTCAGAATTTTCAGTATCTGCGACTATTTACAATAGACTACTAATATCGGCATCGGTACAACCCTAGTTATACACATATTTGCAATATTACAGTCGCTAATTGTTAGGAAAAGCACTTGATTTGACTTTTCTCACTTTTGAAGTATTTACCTAACGTTACCTTTCATTGGCTGCTGTTTTGTGATGTAAACCTTGATGCTCAATTTATGATTGGCTCTCGCTATAGTCACACATCCAGCATCAACAAGCACACACCACTTCAGTTTACTTTCAACAAACTTACGACCGCAATGCAAGGTTAACGCCACAATTGCAGTGCTAACCCTGCTCTACCTAACTAGCCTGGGGTGACAGCAGGGCTAGTATCTCTTTTTAATTGTAGGTGTGAAATGTGTCTATACCCGGGGTTAAAAGCACCGTTTAGTATGATAACAATAATTTAAGTTTGCAGAGGTTAGAGGTAGGACCCTTTTTAGACATGTTATTAAAAATTGTCTGTTTCTTTTGTCCACTATCAGCCACATTCCTGATTTTTCTGAAAGAGGCTCTATGGCAAAAATATGTATGAGCTTTTTTATCTTCCAATCTAATTTTATAATATAAAGTGATATGAAAACAAATGGAGATAGTGGAAAAGAACACAGAGTAGAAGTTTTTTTTTTTTTTACTCCTACAACTGTAAAACTCCACTAAATGCTGTGGAACCAAGGTTGAATCATGCATTGTGGGATATTCATTCATTCATTCATTCATTTTCTTTTTGGCTTAGTCCCTTTATTAATCTGGAATTGCAACAGGAGAATGAACCACCAACTTATCTAGCATATGTTTTATGCAGCAGATCACAGGGAAAAAGGACGTTAATTTCAAATCTTATTATTATAGTAACATTTGTCTTCAGATGCACTGATTTAGTTGCCGGAATAGCCAACAATAAAGTTTTGTATTAACGGCAAAAAAAAAAAAAATAAAAAAAATAAAATAAAAATTAAATATTAAGCTAAGATCATGAATTCAAGAAGCCATTCTGTAAACTTCCTACAGTAGATATATAAAACCTTATTTGTTTATTAGTAATATGCATTGCTAAAAACTTTATTAGGACATCTTTAAAAATGATATTTCAATATTTAATTTTTTTTAACCCTCAGATTACTGATTTTCAAATAGCTATGTACACAGCAAATTCATCTGAGTTAAATTCTCGGTGTTGAAGCATTTGAGAGTAAAGTGTTGACGTTAAAGAGTTAGATTTTGATAAATGAATATAATAAGAGTTAGAATTGATTTTATTCAGTGCGAAATCAAGGAGTTATCTTTTCAACACTTGGTGGTGTTATTTCCAACGTCCGGGAATTCATGCAGCCCCAGTCACTGAAGAATTTTCCAGACGCCATTTTCCATCTGAGGTTTAGAACAGCAACTGGTGAGTCAAACTACCTAAATGTTGGTATTTTACTGACTTTCTTTAAGGAAATACAGTTGTAAACATATTGTTAAGTTAATAACTTTAGAATGGAGTGACAATTTTAATCTTCTGCGGTTCATTCATGGTCGTTTGTGTATCTAGCTTAACTGCATTACTATTGACTTCTTTTCAAGAATGTTTTTATATATGCTCACGCATACATAGTGCATAAAAACATCACATGTACATGTTCAACACATTTCTGTCACGCTTAATGCCATTTTGTTCGTTGTTACCCATCTGTAAAATAAAATCGACACTTCTCCTTTAATTCGAAGCAAACTAGCGAGGGAATCCCCGGAGCAGCCTAGCCCACTCTGCCCGGATGCTAACAGCAACACAGGACGGTTTCCATAAGCTCTGGAGAGTTTCTAAAACATATCTGGTGAGTAAATGAACATATGCTTACTTGTAAAAGGCTTCCTGACTAAAACAAATGATTGTTTGTTATTCGTGTACATTAATTAGGTTATTTTAAACACCGCGGCCCTTTTAAACTGGTTCATTCGTGGCCGTCCATATACCGTTAGTTCATAGACTCGCGTGATAACGTAACAGTTACGCTTGAATTATATTAAGCGTTGACAACCATTAAAGTCGGAATGTTAACATTAATGTCTTTAAATGACCGCGTTTGCACTTTCTCAGACATTTAAGGTTACAGAAGTCTCCCGGAAGTTGCGGGACTAACGTTAACGTTATCCCGCAAATGCACAGAGACTCCCAGATGACCAAGTAGATGCCCGCAAATGAATGATAATCTCCCGGAAATCGCGCGTCTCCCGCCCGGTCATTAAACACTTTGCACACCGCTCTCCACCGCATCCCTCCCAGCTCTTCAGGTACGTCGCGCGTCACCCCCACCGCTCTTCAGGTACGTCGCGCGCAACTCATCCCATTGCTCTTCAGGTTCTCATCTCTCCCGCTAATCAACTCTGTATCCCCCGAAAATTACTTTTCCCAACTCGGGATGTCTGACGTTAGTAAGTTAGGCTATTTCTGTAGTCAGGAACATCTTAGTCAAGCTTTTTTTCCCGCATGATATTGTGCTTTAAACTATAGGCTAAACTTAGCATGTACTGTACACAACAATTCCTTTTTATTAAAGACAATTTAGTACGTTGTAAACAGCCACCTGTCTGTAAAATTAATCAACTGATTCATATTTGAGAAGCCTAATGATGATACAGGTTTGATTTGTAGATTTATTATCAATAATCAACATCTGAATCAAAAGATATCTGAAAAAGTGTGAGGCATATTTTGTGATGTTCATCTCTCCTTTTTATCTGAAGGTTATGCATATGTGTTAGATACAAATTTTTTGTTGTTTTTTTTAACAGCCACAGTTCTCTATACAATAACACAAGACCCCGTGACGGTGGCTGATTAGAGACGGATGGTGTATTTCCAGAGTTGGTGAAATGACCAAGCACACCTTCTTGGTCATATGTGGTGATAATAATGAAGGTATGTTTAATAAAGTTCTGTATTTGTTTCACAATAAGCTGAGAGGGTATTAGAGCATTAAAGAATAACAAATGACATGAAGGTGATAAGTTTTGTATTGTGGGTGAACTGTTACTTAAATAATGTTTTGCTCTTTACTTTGCACTTTTCCTCTTCTGCTTATCCTAATATTTTAGATTATATTTGGACCTGAAACATCTGCTAGACTCCAGTAAAGGTGGCGTCAATACTGGACCTGAAAGGGCCTAACAAGTTGAATCTGGTAAAGAAACATGCACGCGTGCACACACGCACGCACACGCTTACAGAAAACTTGTTTATGAAGTTTATGAATATTTTTTACACTGTGGCCAATATTTTGGGGAAGTCAGCATCACTAAATGATATAAAAGATTTTAAGCTCCTCTAAATTTTGCTCCAAGTGTTGTGTTAAATTCAGGATTCTGGACAGACAGCTGCCTGTTTTTCCAGTTCTAGTCATAGTGGTTAACCTAATTGTTTTTGGAGATCCAACAGTGATGCATGTGTTTTTTCTACTTTTCCATATCCTGTCACCTCAACCAGCTGGGAGAGTCAAGTTGTGGATCATCATGAAGATTTTCAAAAGGTGAGTTTAGATTTCTTGAATGTTTTATTTACTTTAAATGTTCTTTTAAATATATCATAGAATTTGATTGCAATTTGTTTTCAAACATTTTTCTTAGTCATGCTGGAGTCTTGAAGAGTTCTTAGATGAGCATCACCCTATATCCGTGCATCAGGAACCACCAGACGAGCGATCAGCAGCTGCTACATTGTCATGGATATAAAGGTCATCCTGTGGCTGGGAAGCACTTCATTCACAGGACATGCTTGATGAGATTTCCTAGCTCCAGTTTGTTTTCACACAAGTTTACAGCATTTGTACCTTCATTTAAACTGCTGTGTTTGATATGGAGGACCAAGGAAACACCCGAAGTGAAAGATTTGCACGCCAAGTTGTTTAAAATGTAATTTCACAAGAAAACTATGAGTTCAGAAGCAAACTATGAGTGACGCTATATTGAAGTTTCAAATTGCTATGATAACACATCAAGTTTGGACCAAAGGACTGAAACAGCCTTTTTGCGCACTGGTCATACATATTTTGTTGATACTGTCTGTACTAATAAAACATTTAAAGCATATTTGACATTGTTGCATTTTAAAAAACTGAATGAATTGTTGAAGTGGTGAATGTTTTCAAATAAAATGTTTTTTCTTTTGTAATTTACAGTCTATTTGACCTTTTTACCGTATTTACACTCAAGAGAGTTGAATAAAATAACAATATATTACACCAGGCGGTGTTAAATATAGTTACATTTTTTAACTCTGCCCAGAGTTAAAATTAACCCTTACTTCGGTGTCAATGTGCCAACCCTTTTGAAAGTGTTGATTTAACTCTGTTTTGAGTGGACCCCATGAGACACTTTCAAAGTGTTGAAATTAACACCCATAGAGTTGTTTTGGGTCCCCATATTTTGCTGTGTATCAACCAAATATTATGCTATCGAAAGCTTATTCATTAAAAATAAAATAAAATAAAATTAAATAAAATTAAATTAAATTAAATAAAATAAAATAAAATATAATAAAATTGGTCAGGGTCAGCTATTACATATTAAAATAATAATGTAATATAACTACTGCATTTCGGGCGAAGTAGTGGCGCAGTAGGTAGTGCTGTCGCCTCACAGCACGAAGGTCGCTGGGTTGCTGGTTCGAGCCTTGACTCAGTCGGCGTTTCTGTGTGGAGTTTGCATGTTCTCCCTGCATTTGCGTGGGTTTCCTCTGGGTGTTCCGGTTTCCCCCACAGTCTAAAATCATGCAGTACAGGTGAATTGGGTATTAGGCTAAATTGTCCATAGTGTATGAGTATGTGTGAATGTGTGTGTGGATGTTTCCCAGAGATGGGCTGCGGCTGGTAAGGAATTTGCTGTGTGAAAAACTTGCTGTATAAGTTGATGATTCATTCCGCTGAGGCGACCCTGGATTAATAAAGTGACTAAGCCGACAAGAAAATGAATGAATTACTGCAATTCCTTTAATAATACATATTACTTCTATATTTTTAATTGTACTAAACATTTTATGTTTTTGTTTTTCATCACAAATGTGATAGAAAAAGTTAGGCTACATTTTACATTATATGGTAGTAAGGTTGTATTACTTACTGTTATTGTAATCCACAAATATGTACAGTAAGATGAACTTGCTAAAGTTTTACTAGTATTGTCTTCCTTAAATTGAATAACTTAAATAATCTGATTTCCAACTTAACAGCTCAAGCTACTGTCAACTGAGCATTTTACAAGACAAACATGTGATCGTATAACTTTTACATGTGTAGGCTACAAAATCAGGTGTTGAGCTTCTCTCAGATGTTCTCTCTGGTGCCCAAACTCTTAAGGGAACTTTATGCGTTTATATATATATATATATATATTTATTTATTTATTTTTTGCTCTTTAAACCAGCCTTACAATTTCAAACAATAAAGTTTTATTCCCGTCTCGCTAGTAAGATTCAACACAATGATAAGAATCAGGTCAGTAGGCGGAGGGCAGGTGATCATTTGTGGCTGTCTGAATCTGAAGCGTTCTACCGCTTGAGTGTCTACACTACGAAAATAATCCAGACAAAAGCATTTTATTATCTCTGAAATTTGTTATGTTAGCGGTCTAATAACGTTTTAAAGTCTATATTTTTATCTGCAGTATGCTGTGTGTTAAGGCTAAATGCTAACAATACAGTCATGTTATAAAGACTTTGTTTCTTCCATGTGTGTTGAGTGTTAAGACTAAATGCTGACATTACAGTCTAATGTAACATTATAAAGATTTTATTTCTTCTATGTGTGTGTTGCGTGTTAAGGCTAAATGCTAATATTACAGTCTAATTTACAAAGACTTTATTTCTTCCATGTGTGTGTTGCATGTTAAGACTAAATGCTAATATTACAGTCTAATGCAATGTTATAAAGACTTTATTTGTAGCATGTGTCTGTTGTGTGTTAATGCTAACATTACAGTCTAAAGGTGGTCACACACAGAACACATCCTTTAACCAAGGTCTATAGTGACTCTGCTGAAGTCCAGAGTCCATATGTGCCCTCTCACCTGCTCATACTTCTCTAGTTCTGTGTGGTAGATCTGACGGATCTGGGACAGCTTGGCCCTGTAGTCTGAGTGTTCGGCGGAGTTATCGGAGCCGACGCCGCCTGCCGCAGCAGCAGCAGCTGCAGCAGCAGCAGACCCGCCCCCTTTCTCAGGACCAGACACACCCTCAGCCAGCAGCATGTTATCCAGTCGCATGAGCTGTGCATCTGGTGGCTCCTCCTCCTGAGCTCCACGGATACTGAGTACTGTTAAGAGAGAAAAGAAAGAGATAAAAAAATGTCAGTTTTGTAGAGTTCCTAATATAGATTTTTCATAAAGAAAATTATTTTGAAATAATAACCAAAGGTAACAATGGTGAGAAAACAGCGGTTAAGAAAGCATCTGAGAGACATAGATGCTTGGTTATTAGTCTCTCCAAACCATGTTTATTTATAGAGCACTATACAAAGTAGACTGCTTTAAAGTAAGCCTTACTTTTGTGTAAATAAATGTTTTTTTTTTTTTAGTTTTGTATTCATTTCAGTAAAATTACTGAATAATATTGTTTCTTCTGATTTATGTACAATGTGGTTTCTAAAGTAAAATTGCCATATATATATAGTTGAAGTCAGAATTATTAGCCCACCTGAATTATTCGCCCTCTGCTAATTTTTTCCCCAATTTCTGTTTAAGTAAGAGAAGATTTTTTTCAACACATTTCTAAACATAATAGTTTTAATAACTCACTTCTAACAACTGATTTGTTTTATCTTTGCAATGATGACAATTAATAATATTTAACTAGATATTTTTCAAGACACTTCTATAAGTGACATTTAAAGGTTTAACTAGGTTAATTAGGTTAACTAGGCAGATTAGGGTAATTAGGCGATTTATTGTATAACAATGGTTTGTTCTGTAGACTATCAAATAAAAATATAGCTTAAAGGGGCTAATAATTTTGTCCTTAAAATGGATTTAAAAAAAAAACAAAACTAAAAACTGCTTTTATTTTTGCCGAAATAAAACAAAAAAAGACTTTCATCAAAAGAAAAAATATTATCAGACATACTGTGGAAACTTTCTTGCTCGGTTAAACACAATTTGGGAAATATTTAAAAAGAAATATATATATATATATATATATATATATATATATATATATATATATATATATATATATATTACTTTGTTTACCAAGTAAGTAGTTCTAATTGGATTTTCATTGCAAAATTATTTCTTGCGTTATTATTTTAGCGATTATACTTTTAAAATCATTCTGCCATAATTCTAAACCATAGTTTTTATTTATTTTTTATTTTTTATTCTGTATAGAAATAGCCCAGAATGTTAATTACCTGTTTATTATTAGGATATCAGTGGTTTATTTGTATCTTTAATGTTATAAAATATTCTAATCTTACTCAACGTCCCTAGCCCAATAAATAAACTCAACAACTAATAAGAAACAAATTAGAAGGTTGTTTAAACGAATTAATTTGTGTTTTGCTAAAAGTCATAGTTATTCGTTTGGTCACCCTTAATAGTGAGAATTTTACCTAAAATAAAAGTGACTACTGCCTTATATAATTGAAGAAGACAGCGTTAATGTTCATGATATTAGTCCTTTTGACCTCGATGGACTATACAGTAGATGCACATAAGAAGACTGATGACTTTGGACCAGTTCAACCAATGGCAGTTTGAAGGTGTTTAGTAGCCAGAACCATTTCTGGAAAGTCTGCATTGGCAAGGTGTCTTAAATTACAATCAAACATTGTTTTGGCCTGACTTTCTTCAAAACTGCGTCAGAGCAGTTTATTAGATTTCACCTACAATTTATAGGAGCCTTTAGTCATCAGTGACACTGAAAATCCACAAAGCATCTTACTGGAAAACCTTCAGACAAATTATACGAACATATTACATAATAATAAAAGAGATTTAGTGGTAATCTGATATAACAAACTAAAGAATTGCAATTTCTGAATATAAAACTTAACAAACAAGAAACACATAGATCATTTATAGTCTGAGTGACCTACATGACAATCAAGTTCAAGTAAAAGTCTATAATAAAAACAACATAACATCTCCTTGTGAGCTTTCATGAAGCTTGAGCAATGATATATGGCCTCCATTTTAATTGCTCTCTTCTTTGTAATATAAATTTGGAACTATATACTAACCTTGGCAGTGCAACGGATCATAAAACCATAATTTCATTGATTTGCACATCATTTAGAATAAATGACTTGATGACCACAGATCTCATTTTTAATCCTTGATCTTCTGATATTTGTTCACTGTCAGGATTTATGTGAGTCTTTCCTGTTCCCATCACAAGTTAATTCAAATTTAGGAATGTAGTATATTTAGTACATGTGAATATGTATATTCTGTGAATATAAGCTACAGTACTGCTTTAATACGCAGATACTGTACTGTTCAAATGATCAAATAATCATATAATTGTGAAATATGGTCAAATTATGCAATGAACTGTGTTAAACGAAGCAGCAGCAGAAAGCATTATCAAATTAGTAAGGAACAAACATGCAAAGTATACAGAGGTGGTTCAAAATTTTGTGTGGGACTTGTTATTACTACACTATGAAGTAAAAAGGAGATTATATAAGGACTCTCAGAGGAGTTTGGGATGTGCTATTAGAGCATTGTGAACTGTTTTATCTATGTGTGCCACTAGATGTCTCTCCTTCTGTTCTGTTGTGTTTTGAGAAGGCAGAGCGACAACAGAAAGCACCTGCTCCAGCTAGTAACAAAGACAACACACAAATCCTCATTTACAAATCATTAAATTAATAAACGTATATTTATATTCTGTATATTTATACAGACGACACCTCAATGACATTAAAGAACCACAGGTAATAATGCAAATAAAATGGCTGTGGTTAAATCTCAACATTTACATTTATGAATTTGACAGGTGCTTTTACTCAAAGCTTTACATTTACACACTGTTTTATTTATTTACTTATTTATTTATTTATTTATTTATTTATTTATTTATTTACTTATTTATTAATTTATATATTCTTGCTTTCCCTCAAAACTGAACAAATTGATCAACTTTTTTGAGCTACAGGAAGACAAGTGGGAATTACAAAATAAAAATGAATAGTAAAAACAAAAGTGCAACCTACTACTGTATGTGAAAGTGGTTGAGAAAACGTAACACATATGTCTTATTACACATGTAAACCCACAAAAACTACCAATGTCTGTTGGCACTGCCGCAATCGAGGCAATGCAAACATTCCTGTGGCATCATTCTGAAGATGACAGGAGAAGGTGAGGCAACCAGTGCGTTGCAATCTGTTTCCAGAAGCTCAAACCCAATCAGCCCACTCCCACTGCAAATGTCAAGGGCCGTCAGGGGCCATCAGGAGCCTGCAGAGGTCAAGAGTTCAAGCTATGGGTTGAGGTCAGATTTCTCAAGAGACTGCCAGCAGGATAGCAAACATGGTGCTTCACGTGTGCAGACTTGTATAGAGTGTGCATTTAGAAATTATTTTAACCCTTTCATAATTAAATTTTAAACACTGCTGTGTGTTATTTTAATGTGAGAATTATTTCGATTTTATTGCTTTATAGGTTCCATAAGTACACGTCATGTTAATCATATGCTATTGCAGCCCGACAATATATCATTTTGTTTTCCATTTTCTGCAACTACTAACAAACCTATTAATATTGTAAAATATTTGATATTCCGATTTGCAGATATGTGTAAGAACATGTATTTTGTCGTTTAAACAGCTTAATAGTGATCATATTACTTTATCTATGACGAGTGTCACCCTGCGTTGCTGTGAAGAGATTAGAGCTGCTGAATTTACAACTTGTTAAATAATCAACTTCTAATATGAATGGAAGTAAGTGTCTGTTTGACTGTAAATAATAAATGTTCTAGTAATCTAAAGTGTGATTCTGATGTGAGAAAATTTGCATAGTCAGATTATGTTTAAGAAACATAGCTGCCATCATCATAGACATCCTTGTCTGTTTTAGAAAACATAAATGTTATGTTTTGCTAGAAATTATGCATATTTAAATTTCTGAAAAACAAAATAAACATTATTTGTCTGAAATAATGTTGAAAGTGTGGTGTGCATATTTCTCTAGCTCATTAAAGAAAAGAAGTTTTGAATTGAACAGCTGATCTTGTGGCGCACTCTATGTTTTAATCACACTGATGTGATTGTGTGAAAAGGGTTAATATAACAGTATTAAACTCCTCAATTCTGCAATATTGATTTCAGTCTGATTTCAGACAATGCTGTAAAAGAAAAAAAAATTAAATAAATAAAAAAAAACGGTGACTGTCCAGTTTTAGTGCAGGTTCGACTCTCAATTAAAACCATTTAAAAGTTTGAGGTCAGTGCCTTTGTTTTCTTTGTTTCTTTTTAATAAATGAACTGATTTCAAAAGAAAACCTAACTATCTTATATTTTTTCAGTTTAGTGGCTAATTTGTATGAATTCACAATTTCAGGCAAACGAAAATGTAATTTTTTTAAAGGAGGCATGGCACCAAACCAGGCACTAAACCCAAACTTCACTGGGGGATGAGCAAATCATACTACTGTATATTGTACAAATTAAATCACAAATTCGTATAAATTCAGGGTGCAACGATTACCTGGTTCCACTATAAACCGCTCTTTAATTCAGCACGTATAATTAATCACAAAACTGCTACAACTAAACAAAATTTTAAAATATAAACAGTATTTTGTACACCAACGTTAATACCCTATTAACTGGGTATTACCTATTAACTGAAGGCCGTTCACATATTGCATCTTTTGTGCGAGCAAGTTTGTTATTTCCAATGGAGGCTTGAGGCTTGAGAAAGAATGCCACAAAACGCATAACCGATTGGCTTCATACTTTGTCTAGAATACAAACATTTCTACTGAAACAAAATAAAAATACCAAACAAGTATACATAAAATATAATATATAATATTCGTTCATTTTCTTGTCGGCTTTATCTCTTAATTAATCTGGGGTCGCCACTTATCCAGCATATCTTTCACACAGCGGATGCCCTTCCAGCTGCAACCCATCTCTGGGAGCAACCATACACACTCATTCACACTCATACACCACAGATAATTTAGCCTACCCAATTCACCTGTACCACATGTCTTTGGACTGTGGGGGGAACCGGAGCACCCGAGAACATGCAAACTCCACACAGAAACGCCAACTGACCCAGCCGAGCTTGAGGCGATAGC